TGATAATTACTGATCAGTTAAACTACACCCTTACACTTTTGTTAGAGAACTTCTTTTCTTAATTCATATTCCAAAACTTCCAATAGTAGTCTCCATTTTCAATTTTAAATATAAATAAACAAAAGATTCAATGTTATTTTCTCTCCTCGCCCCCACATGAAATCATAAATATAGCCTTCTTCGGGAGATAGTAAAAACCATAGAAAACACCAAATGTTCTGTATGATACCGCATCGTATAACTAGACAGGACGATGACTTCCGGTGAATCTCGTCAAGTGAAGTTGGTAGAACTAAACATTTAAAGGCAACAAGTAAATTAAACAGGTCCTGTAGGATTGTTTACAGCATGCTGAATGCTGATGATATCCCAAGTGCGATCCATGTCAGATATTCTCAACAAATCGCTGATCAAGAACTTTCGTTTTGTTTTAAAGCTCTCGTACTCAAACATCCTTAAGGACAAAAAGATTAATGGTGCTTTTACCTGTAATCTAGCAGACAAAGTTTCTCTTAGAGTTTAAAACCTCCCATTGTGATAAATTTTAAAATTACAAAACCTGAATGGGAACCCAACAAAAAACAATCAGCCTTCTAACTGCTCATGTTAACGATGAAGAATATAGTTTTAAAATATGCTTTCTGTTATGATTTTATCTAAATTCTACTATTTCGATAAAGTTACATAAATTCACAGTTGTAGTTTGTGTATCAGGATCTGTTTTGCTGAAGTATAATAATGAGTTTTTTTTTCAGTAGAATTTGCACAGAAGTTTGTAAAAAAGTCCAGTACAGTGGGGAGATTTTTTTATAAAAATCACTGCTTTGCTGGCTTGAGATTAAGTGTATTTTATCGCCTATGTTCTGCTCATTTAAATCTTCAGGTAGCAAAACAGCAATTTTGAAAAAAATGATTTAATTTCTCATTAGGGCACTATTTTCTTTATTGTTTAAACGTTAACGATGGAGTTGCGAGAATTCTACTCATCGATATACAAGGGCAACAATTATTATGATTTCGGAGATATAGGGATTCATATACGTAGGTCCTAGTAAGCCTTGGATTCTGCTGTAACTACCATACATTTAATTTCTCATTAGGACACTTAATTAGCATTTAACGAGCGTTTAATTGTCCCTGTGTTTGTTTCTGACCCTACTGACTTTGGGCTTCCTACTTAATGGACGATCTATTCTAGAAAGGGACGAATTGCAATTTATATTATTTCTTAGATTAATTCATAAGTTTAAAACTTATTGTATGGATAACTGAGATAACTGGTAAAGAAGCGCGAGTTATCTAATAATTCAATAAAAAATGACGAGAAATTGTAGCAATTTGCCTGAAATTTTTTGTAATTGGCGGAAAACTGTTTATGTTAATCGTGTGCATAATTAAATTCTTAAACCGTACTTTCTAATTTTTGATAAATTCGTTTGGAGAATTTGTGCGGATGATGCTTGACTTTTTCGTAATTATTCAACGGCCGTGTAGCCGATATATGCAAATCACGACAACTAACTGTCACGTAAGAAAAATGTTTAACTAGTAGTTTCGAAACGTATCCTGTTAAGTTTTTTAGCAATAAATTAACGTGCCGTTTGTGGCCGTGTTTCTACGTATGAATGTGTGTGTCCATTTGCGTATGCTAGCCGATAGCCACGTTTGCCAACCAGTTTAACACATTTTAATGTTTACTTTAACACTTAGTCGAGTTTTTTTGTCGAAAATTTTCGAGAAACTGACACACATTGTATTCAAATTATTAATAATCATGCCTAGAAGAGGTTGTGTCGAAACAAGGGTAATAGGCGATCATGTATATTTATCCTTACTTCAAATTCTCTCTCGAATAGTTTTTGTTCTCTTGATCATTATTTCCAAACTCCAATTGCTCCATTTCTTTAACTGGAGTATGGATTTTACATTTAAATTGTCTCTTTCGAGTTTCTATTAAGTTTTTTCGAAAAAATCAGTCGCAGCATTAATCAGTGGCTGGAGTTTTTAAGCATAACTATTACCACTATAAATTTTTACTGCCACACTTAATATTGCATTATGGAAAAACCAAAAAAGTTGTTAGGTTAAAATCATAAGGTTACGGCAGGTAAAGAACACGAAACGAAATATTTATACTGCCTGACTTTATAAATAAAATNAATATATGAATAATATTAAGATTAATATGTGATGTGAGGCTGTATTATTTAAACAACTCTTTATGAGTTTATAGTGGCAATTAGCACTCAAGGTCCGCCGCCGTTGGGAGGTAATTGATGTATAATTAGGAGGGAATTCGACATACCGAAAATTTTAACCCTAATTAAAAACAGGTATATGGGAGGGAACTAGGCATTATCCAATGATAATTACTGATCAGTTAAACTACACCCTTACACTTTTGTTAGAGAACTTCTTTTCTTAATTCATATTCCAAAACTTCCAATAGTAGTCTCCATTTTCAATTTTAAATATAAATAAACAAAAGATTCAATGTTATTTTCTCTCCTCGCCCCCACATGAAATCATAAATATAGCCTTCTTCGGGAGATAGTAAAAACCATAGAAAACACCAAATGTTCTGTATGATACCGCATCGTATAACTAGACAGGACGATGACTTCCGGTGAATCTCGTCAAGTGAAGTTGGTAGAACTAAACATTTAAAGGCAACAAGTAAATTAAACAGGTCCTGTAGGATTGTTTACAGCATGCTGAATGCTGATGATATCCCAAGTGCGATCCATGTCAGATATTCTCAACAAATCGCTGATCAAGAACTTTCGTTTTGTTTTAAAGCTCTCGTACTCAAACATCCTTAAGGACAAAAAGATTAATGGTGCTTTTACCTGTAATCTAGCAGACAAAGTTTCTCTTAGAGTTTAAAACCTCCCATTGTGATAAATTTTAAAATTACAAAACCTGAATGGGAACCCAACAAAAAACAATCAGCCTTCTAACTGCTCATGTTAACGATGAAGAATATAGTTTTAAAATATGCTTTCTGTTATGATTTTATCTAAATTCTACTATTTCGATAAAGTTACATAAATTCACAGTTGTAGTTTGTGTATCAGGATCTGTTTTGCTGAAGTATAATAATGAGTTTTTTTTTGAGTAGAATTTGCACAGAAGTTTGTAAAAAAGTCCAGTACAGTGGGGAGATTTTTTTATAAAAATCACTGCTTTGCTGGCTTGAGATTAAGTGTATTTTATCGCCTATGTTCTGCTCATTTAAATCTTCAGGTAGCAAAACAGCAATTTTGAAAAAAATGATTTAATTTCTCATTAGGGCACTATTTTCTTTATTGTTTAAACGTTAACGATGGAGTTGCGAGAATTCTACTCATCGATATACAAGGGCAACAATTATTATGATTTCGGAGATATAGGGATTCATATACGTAGGTCCTAGTAAGCCTGGGATTCTGCTGTAACTACCATACATTTAATTTCTCATTAGGACACTTAATTAGCATTTAACGAGCGTTTAATTGTCCCTGTGTTTGTTTCTGACCCTACTGACTTTGGGCTTCCAACTTAATGGACGATCTATTCTAGAAAGGGACGAATTGCAATTTATATTATTTCTTAGATTAATTCATAAGTTTAAAACTTATTGTATGGATAACTGAGATAACTGGTAAAGAAGCGCGAGTTATCTAATAATTCAATAAAAAATGACGAGAAATTGTAGCAATTTGCCTGAAATTTTTTGTAATTGGCGGAAAACTGTTTATGTTAATCGTGTGCATAATTAAATTCTTAAACCGTACTTTCTAATTTTTGATAAATTCGTTTGGAGAATTTGTGCGGATGATGCTTGACTTTTTCGTAATTATTCAACGGCCGTGTAGCCGATATATGCAAATCACGACAACTAACTGTCACGTAAGAAAAATGTTTAACTAGTAGTTTCGAAACGTATCCTGTTAAGTTTTTTAGCAATAAATTAACGTGCCGTTTGTGGCCGTGTTTCTACGTATGAATGTGTGTGTCCATTTGCGTATGCTAGCCGATAGCCACGTTTGCCAACCAGTTTAACACATTTTAATGTGATACTTTAGTTGTT